AATGTGGAAATGGTGATCTCATCCACCTTCCTGAAGCCCTTGACCCTCATCACCCCAATCAATTATGTAAAAATCATCAAAAATAAAAATAATTGCTAACTTTTAAAAATACTGGCTTGGAAGTTGGAAGACCTGAGGGTAATCCTAGTATCTACCTCCTGCTAGCTCTACAATGTTAGAAAAATTCCCAAATTATTGGAGCCTCAATTTTTCCCCTTGGAAAGGAAGATTTTTTACCATATCAGGCCCAGCTAAGTGCTTGCATTTTATATTCTTTTTGTTGTTGTTATTCCATGTTCATGTATTTAAGTTTTCTTTTGTCTTCGTCCAGATAAGGATTTATTGAGTGTTTATCTTTGCAGAGAATGGGCTCTTCATCTTTTTTTTTTTTCTTTTGCTTGTTTTGTACTTGTTAGTCTTCATTTCTTTCTACTCTCATTTTTATCATGTCTTTCTTAGTGCTGATGTAGAGTTTGGTTTGTCCTTGTGTTTTCAGATCCTTAAGTACAGCAATGTGTTGTTCACTGGAGATCTTTTTTGCTTTGAGGAGGTGCTGATGGTTGCAAATGTCCCTCTTAGCCCTCGCTGCCTTTGCTGCATATCCTAGATTTTGGTAGTTGTTTCTGTCTTCCTGTGACTTGAGACATTTTAACTTTCCTTTTTCATTTCTTCTTGGCCCATTGGATATTTGCAAGTAAGCTGTTTGATACCTGTGCATTTGCATCTTTTCCAAGGTTTCCTTTAATGCTGATGTCTAGTTCTACGTTTTTCTGTTTGTGCTGATGCCTGCCCCACTTTCCCAGTTATTTTGCCAGGATGTGGCAGTCACTTCTGCTCCTAGACTCATTCCCTCATCCTGTCCTCTTCCTTTCCATTTCCCTTTCCCTCATGGTTTGTCTCACACCCTCCTATCCTACTGACCAAGCCTATCCAATACTGATGTTACCTTATGTCAAACCTGCTCAATGCTGTTTGCTGCCTCCATTGTCTCCCCAGACCCTTCCACTTTGTGAGACATCTTTGTGACACAAATTTCTGTTGACTTAGGATCTCATCATGGAGAAGGAGAGAGAACAGTGAGAAAGGAATCCCTGAGTTCAGGAACTTTTAAACATGTGCTTTTTAAAGGCTCAGCAGTGATGGGTGTATATGAAAATCATTGAGGACCATTTCAGGTCATGGAACCTTCATTTACAGAGAAAAATGGAAAACCAAAAGGGGAATAAAAAAAGCGACTTTACATTCTCCTGCCACGTAGTGAAACTTGCTTTCCAGCAAACTCATAAATTACATCTTAATAGGTGCGATTTGATGAAAAATATTCCCCATGGTAATAACTGCCCGGCACATAGTAAGCGCTTTAAAATGCCTGCATTTTCATATTTCTGTTGCAGAGACCAGGGCACAAAGTAGCTTTTTGTCAAAGCTTTATGTACTGATTCTGCTATTGTTTCCCCCAGGGAACTGCCCCTTTATGGATTAATAAAAGGTTAACAATCGCCTGACGTGTTAAGGAAAAATGGTTGCAGTTCAGTTCTGCGGTTGAAATGACTTCGTGTTCTTAAAATCCTGTTGTTCCCTAGTAGTGATCAACTTCATAAAGTGCCTTGCTTCTTTTTTTGAAAGGTGGAGATACGAGAGCCTATTGTGGAAACCCAGGTTTACCTTTTATAAATATTTCTGCATTTTATGGGCTTTTCGGATATTCTCTCTGGAGACCATTTCTGTTCTGTGGAATTTTCACAGGCACTGGCACAAACTGCCATCTGGCTTCTGCCCCTGCCACTCTGCGAACCTGCCTGGTTAGCTCCCTGGGGACTCCCAATGGTCAGGTCCCCTAGGTTCCTCTCTGTGGCAGGTGACACTGTAACCACTTGCTACTCAAAGCTCCCTCAGCCTCTGGTTTCCGTTGTTACTGTGTGTGGGGTGATAGTGACATGCCTGGTCCATGTGAATAGCCACAAATAGGCCAGGAAGATGATTGGGATGTGGTTTTAACCCTCAAAGAAATGATGCCCGGTAGTAGAGAAAAATGTGCAAAGTGATAGGTGCAATGAGATGGAACCAGTGTTGTGTTGGAAGCCTGCTCAAGAATAATTTTCAAGGTATATATGTGGTGAAGGACGAAAAGTTTGGGGCAGATACATTTAATTATCTGGATGGAGACATAAAGTTTAAAATCTCATTTTTCCTCCACCTCCAAATTCACTTGTAATACATCCTGAACTGCTTTGTGAATGTTTGGACATGAAAAGTTAGGGCTAAAGGAGGGTGATATTTTAATTTGATATGCACTTTTGGCCACTACGTTAGTTAGGGAAAAGATTGTAATTGCTGTGTGTATGAGACAACCCATGCGTTATCAATGGCTTTACCTCTGTTAAGATTCACTTCTTTGGCTCGGCACGATAATCTAGTGGCTAAAATCATTGCCTTGTACACTCCAGGATCTCATAGGCGCCGGTTCTAATCCCTGCTGCCGCGCTTCCCATCCACCTCCCTCCCTGCTTGTGATCTGGGAAAGCAGTAGAGGACAGTCCAAAGCCTTGGTACCCTGCACCTGCAAGGGAGACCTGGAAGAGGTCTGGGCTCCTGGCTTTGGATTGGCTCAGCTCCGGCCATTGCAGCCACTTGGGAGAGTGAATCAGTGGACGGAAAATCTTCTGCTCTGTTTCTCCTCCTCTCTGTATATCTGCCTTTTCAATAAAAATAAAAATAAATCTTTAATAATAAAAAAGAGAGAGATTCACTTCTTGTGTCCTAGACCAAGGTGTGCTGGTTAAAGTCCTTGATCCACAGAGTCTTTCAGGAACCCAGGATGCTATGGTTCTACCTGGGTTTGCTGTCCTCCTGGCTCCTTCCCTGAAGCCCATGTGTCTAAGGGAGGAGGAGGGACCATGGAGGATGAAGTAGAATTTTGAACAGGTGATAGTATAAGCTATGGAAATAACAGAAATTGTTCCTGCCTATTTAGTCACATGATAGCAGGGAAATGTCATGGAGTTGTGTGTCCAGGAGGGAAGAAAATGAGCTATGTCTCTATCTTAGTCACTTAATCCTGCTAATTCTGACTCCCAAATATCCTTGCCTTTTACCTGCTACTTCATTTCCAGTACTACTGCTAGGATTGATACTTTCAGCATCTCTCTTTTGTTCTCTACATGATGAGAATTTCTTAACTAACCTTGCAGTCTATCTTCAGTCATACCATAGGAAGCCTGCTATAGTTAAAGCTGGAGCATAGCCCACCCCCGCTTGATTAAGCGTGACTAGGCTGAGTGACTGCCTGTCCTTGTCTGAACTCAGTAGGAAGGCACGAAGGTGCTGCCCTCAAGGGCCTCATCCTCTGCTTCTTCCTTGGGAACACTTTGCTCCAGTTGTGTGGAATATGCCTCCATTCCACACCCCCAGACTGCATTCACCCTTCTTTGCTTTGTGCCTATTTTCTCTTCAGCTCTGGACCCCCATAATCTTTGCCAACTTGATGAGTGCTAGGCATCCCTCAACATTCACCCTCTAATTGTCAGTTTCTGAATACCAGTATCCTGAGCATGCTTAATTTTCTGCTCTCAGAAATTTGTGTTCCAATATGTGTTCATTTTTGATTGTTAAGGGTCCTGGCATGAAAGGGAGACTTAAGAGAGTTAGAGGGACTGTTTATAAATATCTGGGCAGATGTGAGGGAAGTAAAACAAAGGAAGATGAAAGAATCTGGAGCACACAACAGCCTATTTGTGTTGCTATAGCAAAATACCCAAGGTTTGGTCCTTTGAAAAGAACTAAATGTACTTAAAGCCTCAATTCTGGAGGTTCAAGAGAACAGAGCTGGCATCTGCACAGTTCCAGGAAATGATGCTGGGAGCATGTATGGAAGAAAGATGGGGAATCCTAGGGAGAGCCAGTCAGTAAGATACCAGGGAGTGGTGGAGGGGCCCTCTCTGCTCTTTTTGTTAACAGCCGGGTCTCAGAAGGACTGATCCAGTCCTACCAGACCTGGCCTACTCCCTTGGTACAGCGCCAGTCCGTCTGTCAGGGCAGAACAGCTCTGACTTCTTTGTCTTCAGTAGGCTCCATCTTTAAGAGGATTCATGACTGCCTATTGAAAATCAAGCTTCCAGTACTTGACCTGCGGGAAACAAACCATGTCCAAACCACAGCATCCCTGTGGAGTCCTGAGAGGGAGTGAGCTGGCAGGAGAGGACAAGGAGAGAGCTACCTCTGTGGCTGTGGGGAGAAGGGTGGAGTCAGTGACCAAGCTGCAGCCTGGCTGAGAGGGAACCAATGCCCTGACCTCTCCATCCTCCCATTTGCTGGTTGTCTACTGCATTTTCCCAAGCTGGTCTGGAAGCTAACAGAGCAAGAGAGCCTTTGGGTGGTCACCTTCATGGCAGATCCCCAGAGTGCACAGTGCAGCAGAGGATGGAGAGAGAAGACCTGAATGGGCCAGGAGAACATGATCAGCATAGCTCTTTATGTCTCTAGTACAGTAGAACCATGTATAGATCTTGCCAATCAATCCCATTATGAGTTTCTTTAGTGTGTTTTATATTTTTATAAATCATTGGTGTCTAGGACAGCTTTTAAAAGTTGCTAAAAATTATGTTTCTGTTGCAAATCCATAGAAACAACTTTTTCACAGTTCTAGGGATTCTAAGACCAAGCAGTACCTTCTAGCTGTGGCCTTCCATGGCAGCGTGGATGATGGCTGCCTCTGGGGTCTGTTTGACATGGACACTGATTTCATTCCTGAGGACTCTGCCCCCAAAGGTCCCACCACCTAAGCAGTTCTACTCTGAAAAGTAGGATTTCAACATACACATTGGAGAGCATCACTACTCAGTCCATTGCAGGTCATTTTTGAAATGTTTAGTTGAAGCCTTAAGTCATTTGATTATAATCTTTTCAGGTGCTGAGAAATTATTTCCCAGGGTTATCTTTCCATACGAGAAGTGTGGAAAGCTTTATTTCATCTTCCTAATCTGCCTTTTCTCCTTTCTCAGCCCAACAGGCAGGACTCGAGAAATCGTGATGCCTTCCAGGAACTACACCCCATACACAAGGGTCCTGGAACTGACCATGAAGAAAAACCTGACTTAGAGATGTGCACATCTTACAAATGGAGAGGCCTCATAACCTCGAGACTTCAAGTCAGGAGAGGGTGCCTGTTCTTTCCTTATTTATACAGTATAAGCACAAATGGAAATTGCTGGAGTTCTGATCTGCTTCTAAGATGTGAGGGAAAGTGGAGGTAGCAAGGACAGGCAAGAGACGGGTGAGTACACAAGGTCGTATTTCAAACACCCAAAGGATCCTGCTGCCCTGCCTTGTGACTAGCTTCTGTGTGGCACCGAAGTCTCTCCAGAATTCCCCCGTAATTTATCTTCCAGTTTTCAAAGCTTCGGTTGGATGGGGCAAGGGCATTCATTTGAAGTTTCATGTTATTCACACCAGGATCATTTGTTACAGCATGAAGATTTTGTTTACCCGTAAAAGTATTAGGGGCAGGGTTTCCCTGGCAGAGGGAAGCCTGCCAGTCAAGAACAGGGGCATCTGAAGAAACTTGAACGTGGGACAAGCATTTCCCGCAGCTCTTTCCTCTTGTTCCCTAGGAGCCCTGTGGCATTGTGGGAGCCTCAGTTACAGACTTGTGTGGACCAGGCAAACTTCACTCTTGTGCATTAATCCTTTGGTTTCATCTGTGCCTTGTATCTTTACTGGGTCAACTGAAATCAACTGTATTTATTTAAACTGTGATTGGTTGTTTTTGCTTTGTTTTTGTTTTTTTTTTCTTTCTCACTTTAACTTAAAGAAACTTTTCTGTGTTCTGGAGATTTCATCTTTTAATTTTTGTGTATCATTCTGTGTTTTTGTCTAATGAATGAATAATCTTTCACACACGTTTTTCTTTGATATTGTAACCTACAGCACCTATGTTTAATAAAAACCATATATTTTGTTCTACTATTGTTTCTCTGTGTAATCCATGGCCATGTAGAAGGGGTAGATTTGGATCAGGCCTGGAATTGAGTATCCAGGTCAGATCACAGTGATCTTTCAGTCAGGATACTTCACAGAAGCATTTGTAAATCATATCAGTGTGAGTGTATGTGTATGTGTGTATGTTTCTTTTTAATTCCTGGACTGTATTTACTTAGCTAGCATTTTGTGAAGAGTAAGATACATTCACGATCACATAATACAAAAATAGTTCTTTTCAAAAAATCTCCCTTCCTTTGCCCCAAATTCCTACCCCTTATTCACCCCTCACCCTCTGAGAGAGAGAAAAAGAGAGGGAGAGAGAGAGAGAAAGAGAGAGAATAGATCACCTGAGTTAGGATAGTATAAAGAGGAAAAGGCACATTCTGGAGTCAAATTTATATTTAAATTCTGGCTGTGGAAGCTTTGGCAAATCATGAGAATTCTTCATATTCATTTCATTCTCTAAATTCCAGGGATAATCACATCTGCTTGATAGGCTGATGTGAAGGGAGAATGGAATAACTGGCCTCGGGGCCTGGTGCAGGCTGGGTGCAGAGGCCGTGGTTGCTGTCATTTTCCAGGTTTGCTTCTGATCCTTGCTGACTCTCACGAATGGAGGTGTTGCAGCAGTGGAAATCACCCAGTGAGAGTGTTTAGGGGAAAGACAGGCTTTCAGACCAAGAGATAGGGAAGCTGGACTCAAGGGAGGAGGGCTGGGCCCCTTGGAGTCCCTGCGTACCTCCAGATGCTGGTCTGGAAGCAGTTTCTAAGAGTGCAAGTTTTAATGAGACCAAGGCAGAAATGAAAACAATTTTGCAAATACTTCTGCATTTCTGCTTCTTCTCTTTATCTCTCCAAATAAGCAAGATAAAGAAAAAAGGAAACCTTAGTAATTTTAAGTTTAGAGAATATCAAATGTCCCTGTACAACTGGGGTGGTTTGTGTTTTGAAATGTGCCTTCACCATGTGGAGAGTTCCAAACATTATTTGAACTATTCCAAAAGACCAGGAAAGAGTTCCTAAATTATACAGACTGAAACTGAGAGATAATCCTTGTTGATCCTTTGTCAAAATTAACTCTAGTGACCCCTAAACCTCCCTCTGAAAAAAGAGGCATTCATCAATTCTTCGTGAGCACAGCTATTACATAGAATTAGGGAGGATTAACTCCACTATTACATGATACGTTTATCTCCCTTAAATAAAAAGCAGGGTATGTAAGGGTTTGTTTAATTAAAATTTTAAATTTATTTTCATTTTATTTGAAAGGCAAGGAGACAGAGAGCGGTCTAACTCCCAAAGTGCCCACAACAGCTAGAACTGACCCAGCCTAACCTAAGAGGTGCCAACTCAGTCTGATTTTTCCACATGGATTGTAGGTACCTCAGTATTTGAGAACCTGCTGTCACTCAGAGAAAGTATTAGCAGGAAGTTGGACTGGACATGAAGCACCTGGGACTCGACCAAGCACTCTTATGAAAGTATCCCAAGTGTTCATTAACTGGTGCATCATGATGTTACACACTTTTAAAATGTGTAACATGAGGGCCAGGCGCAATAGCATAGCAGGTTAAAGTCCTCGCCTTGAACGCACCAGGATCCCATCTGGACGCCGGTTCTAATCCTGGCAGCCCCGCTTCCCATCCAGCTCCTTGCCAGTGGCCTAGGAATGCAGTTGAGGACAGCCCAAAGCTTTGGGACCCTGCACCCGCGTGGGAGATCTGGAGGAGTCTCTTGGCTTCAGATTGGCTCAGCTCCAACCGTTGTGGCCGCTTGGGGACTGAACCATCTGATGGAAGATCTTCCTCTCTGTCGCTCCTTCTCTCTGTATTATCTGTCTTTCCAATAAAAATAAATAAATCTTTTTTTAAAAATGTGTAACATAAACCTCTTGAGCAGGACCCTTGGAGCATGCCCCACAGTGGGGAACCTGGGGTGGTGTCCTCCATCCCAAGATACAGAGGCATTTGGGAGGCTGGGTGTAGCTTCTCTCTTTGCCTCCTCTCTTCCCCCAGATATAGGAAGGAAAGAAAGAGAATGTGGAAATGGTGATCTCACCTACCTTCCTCTAGCCCTTGACAGTTATCACCCTAATTAACTATGTAAAAATCATCAAAACAAATAAATCTTTAAAAATGTGTAACATAAAAAGTTGTACATGCACATACTATATAATATTCAAATAAGAGTGAAATTATGTCTCAATTTTTTCTTTAAGGTGAAAACATTTAGACTCTTTTATGAGCTGTTTAAAAAGAAAAACACAGAGTACATTATTATTGTCTATCTTTGCCCTTCTGTACAGTGGAAAATCAGAGCTTCTTTCTCCAACAGACTAGAATTTAGTATTCATTAATCAAGCTTTCCCATTGTCTTTTTTCCCTTTACTGTATCTAGTTCCTGGCAACTACAATTCCGTGTTCAGCTTTCATGATATCAGCGTTTGTAGGTTCCATATCCAAGTGAGATTGTTCAGCACACATCTTTCCGTGCTTGGCTTATTTCTTTTACTATAATGACCTCCAGTTTTATTAAAATTGTTGCAAAGCCAAGATCAATATTTAATGACTGAATAGTATTCCATTGTGTATGTGGATCATAGTTTCTTCATTCTTCAGCTGATGGGCACTTAATTCCATCATTTGCTTATTGTAAAGAGAGCTACAATAAACAGGGAGTGCTGATGTTTTCAACATGCGGATTTCATTTCCTTTTTTTTTTTTTTAAGCAACCTCTGTATTGCCTCCTACCTACCATACTACATTATGTTCCATTAACAATGGAAGGACTCCTTTTCCTCTACATCCACATCCTTGCCAGTGCTTTTTATAACAGCCGGTCAGACTGGAATGAAGTTATATATTTTTGTTGCTTTGATTGATATTTTCCTAATGAGAGTGATGCCAGGGATTTTTCATGTGCCTATTGGCTGTTTGAAAAAAAGAATATCTATTTAAATAGATTTTTAAAACTTGGGAGCCTGGCATGATAGCCCATTGGCTAAAGTTCTCGCCTGGAACGCTCTAGGATCCCATATGCATGTTGGTTCTAATTGTTGTGGTCCCGCTTCCCATCCAGCTTTCTGCTCGTGGCCTGTGAAAGCAGGTGAGGATGGTCCAAAGCCTTGGGACCCTGCACCCACATGGGAGAACTGAAAGAAGCTACAGGACCCTGGCTTCGGATTGGCTCAGCTCCAGCTGTTGAGGCTGCTCGGGTACTAAATCAATAGACAAAAGATCTTCCTCTCTGTATATCTGACTTTCCAATTAAAAAGTAAATAAATCTTAAAGAAAAAACTTGTGTTAGTTTGATTTTTGCTATTGAGTTTAGTTTATTATGTAGTCTGGCTACTAACCCTTTGTCAGTTAAATAGCTTGAACATATTTCCTTTCACTTTGTAGGTTATCTCTTCATTCTGTTGGGTTCTTTTCCCTTTGCTGTACAGGAGCCTTTCAGTTTGATAAAATCCCCTGTGTCTGTTTTTGCCTTTATTTCCTGTAATTATGGGGTGTGATTTAAAAATACAATGTATAGAAACATTTCCATTTTCCCTGTATTTTCATTTGGTTTGAGAGCTTCAGGTCTTACATTTAGACTTTTAATTCTCTTAGAGTTTATTTTTGCTCAGAGTAAGAGATAAGTTTACGCATCTGCATGTGAATATCTAATTTTCCCAGCATTATTTGTTAAAAAGACTGTATTTTCTTAGCACCTTTATAAAACAATTGTTAATTCTTTTTCCTAAAAATATTTTTGTTCATTTAACTTGAAAGGCAGAGTTACAGCAAGAGAGAGGTCTTCTATCCACCAGGTCATTCTCCAAATGGCTGTGAAGGCTGGAACCAAGCCAATTTAAAGCCAGGAGTCAGGGTGTTCTTCTGGTCTCCCATGTAGATAGAGGGGTACCAAGGTCTTGGGCTATCCTCCACTGCTTTACCAGTCACATTAGCTAGGAAAGGGAGGAGAAGCAAAGCAACTGGGACTCATCTGATGCCTATATGTGATGGTAGCACCCCAGGCAGCAGCTTTATTCACTATGCCACAGCACTGGCCCTTTGTGGATTTACTTCTAGGTTCTGTTTTCTGTTTCATTGTTATATGTGCCTATTTTTATGTCAATACCATACTGTTTTTTTTTAAAGATTTATTTTATTTTTTTATTGGAAAGGCAGATATACAGAGAGGAGAGACAGAGAGGAAGATCTTCCGTTCTATGATTCACTCCCCAAGTGAGCCGCAACGGTTGATGCTATGCCGATCCGAAGCCAGGAGCCTCTTCCGGGTCTCCCACATGGGTGCAGGGTCCCAAAGCTTTGGGCCATCCTCGACTGCTTTCCCGGGCTACAGGCAGGGAGCTGGATGGGAAGAGGGGCCGCTGGGATTAGAACCGGCGCCCATATGGGATCCCGGGAATGCAAGGCGAGGACCTTAACCACTGCGCCACCGTGCCAGGCCCAACCATACTGTTTTAAATGCTACAGATCTGCAGTATAGTTTAAAATCAGACAGTAACTTGTCTCCTCTTTATTTTTTTACTCAAGATTGCTTTGGCTATTTGGGGTCTTCTGTAGTTTCATGTAACTTTTTCAAAAATATCCTATAATTACATTTTAAATTAATATTTTCATCTCAGACCATTCCAGACTTTCTTAGTATGCACATGCGCACATGTGTACACATACACACACAGACACCACTTGTTTTTAAACAAGTATGATCCAATAGTGAATCGTGTGGTTTTTTTGACCCCAGGCTCTGGAGTCCAATTGCCTGAGCTCAGCCATGTTTTTCTGAATGGGTAAGTCACAGAGTCTGAGCCCCTCTGAAATGGGAACAGTGATAGTTCTTTCCTAATTCAGTTGTTGTTAAGGGTAAATGTAAATTGGGCCCAGCACAGTAGCCTAGTGGTTAAAGTCTTCACGGTACACACACTGGGATCCTATATGGGTGCTGGTTCTAAACTCAGCTACCCTGCTTCTC